TTCTCTTGCTTAACACACACATTAATTACTTCGTAACCTTTTGGTTATATTTCATTTAAATGGTCCACCAATGGAATACCCGCGTACGTGCAACAGAAGCTGCGGGTCCTGCTCGCGGGAGAAGCGGGGACGGGTGTATAGAATGGGGAAGTTTTCCAGTGCTACGATGGATGACGAACTGAGTGACTTCAATCTGGGAACCTGCGGAGTGAAATTTTGCCCAGAAATCGGAAGTTTCGTGAGAAAGTCCCAGAATAACCGGATCTCGTTCTCTTGAAAGTGAAATAAAGAAAACCGAGGTTTCTCGAAGTGTTCTCATAGGGTAAAGAAGAAAAAGAAGAATGATAAGGATTGGTGATTATAAGGAAAATCGCTGTTTGCAAACTTCAAGGAAATACCAATTATTCCTGGAACCCCGAATTGCCCCACTAGTAGAATTGCTCATGGTCATGTACCTACTGCTGCCTGGTCCTTCACGAAAGCGCTGCGCATTTGGCTTCAAGTCAATCGCTTCAAGAGTAAAACGTATAATTAAGCTAAGCAATGATTCAAAGGCACATTCCAGAATGAGTCCTGATCGAGGGGGCCAAGGGATGAGAGCGTGGTCTCACGCCTCAACCTTTGAGGGCCGCAGATCTTGATCTCTGCTGGGGCAAAACCATGCGCTGGCGAAATTGCGATCCTAGCACCAGCGTAAAGGCCAGATCGGTAGGCCGGTTGGTAAAAACCTCATTTACAACAATCATGTTGAAAGATTTTGATGAAGCCAGGTGGATTTATGCTCCAAATGAGTGGGATAGAGCTACCTTCGAAAGTAGAGGATGTTAAGTTTTCGCAGCTCGAAAGTGCGCAGCAAAAGCGCAATGGTTTTTTGATTACTGGCGCAGAAAGATTCTTTGCGATTTGAAGGTCCAATGCTAAGCATGTGGTGTTAACGCCTCCATTAGTCTCCATGTACGGCTTTGGATGAACCTCGGCATGATGGCGCTGCTTGATATCTTCTTAACTCTTCACGAGGTTGATAAATGACCTTTATTGGGCTAACGTTTCGGCAGGAATCGCCTTCTTCAGAGCATGGAAAGGGTCGAAACAATTTATGACTAACTGATCATAATGTCTTAACAGATATCGTATCAAACAGTGCTTCCACTAGTCTTCCGTACTCTCTCTCCTCCCAAAAATCTGTCCTCTTTCCTTTGCGTTGTGAATCTCAAACTGCTTGTCTATTTATCTACACGGAAACTCTTCAAAAAGAGTTCCGTATTCCCAGTGTTCTTGCTTTCCTTTCGTTTTTTCTTTTATTCACAACTGGCGATCCACTTCGCAGCTCTACCTTGATTTTCTAGCAGAATGGTGACACTCACATAATCGTTGAAGTGCTGCCCGGGAAGGCTCTAGTTTCTGGACAGGATTTGTACCAACCGCAGTCGGAGAGCAAGGGGATTTGGTTGGCCAGGAGGGCTTCTATCTAAGGTACCATGAACGTGATAAATGGCCCCATAGCCGCAAATCCTTCTCTACATCACGATGGAAGAGCTCGCGTAGAGCTTCTTGTCAGACTAATCTTCACTTGCACTTGCTTTTTGCCTTCATTTTTGAAGAAGCTCTTTTTGCTAGTTTCCTGAAAGCCGTCTAGTTCATACCCTGAAGCGACACTTTTGCTCCGTATATGTTTTCGTCGATCCTCGTCAGGAACAGTTGTCCACACTTCAACAAGTTTTTGTTGGCTCTCACTGAAGTTGAAAAGTGTGTGCGCGGTGACTTTGTCCCAGGTTTTTTGTTCAGAGGCGTCGTAGCGCGTCAAATGTGAGCATTCAGGTGTTTCTCACGGAGCCCAGCGCTCACATCACACGCGTTCCAGCGCACCATAGGGGGCAAACCAAAGCAATCACGGCATAATTAATTGCTCCACATGATCAGATTTCCTAACGGCTCCACCTGTGGACGAAGGCAAACCGATAATAGGCAGATGACTTCAAAGGCTTAAGCATAAGTATGAAAGAACACACACGCTTATCAAGCAACAACAATAAATACGGGTTGTAAACTGATAACAGGCAACAAGAACGTAATCTCGAGCTGCACTCCTTGACTCATCAAGGCGGGATATTACCGGGATAGTTCTACTCATTATTGCTTTCAAATCTGTATTGAATTTCGCTAAAGCTTACAAAGCCTTCCATCACCTCCGGGTCGGTTGAATGGTACGGCAGAGACTAGTCATAAGAGGAGAAAGCGGCTGTCTTGTACACTGGCTGGCCTCACAGGCCACCGATGAAGCAAGCCGACTAAAACGCAACTGCTGCTCTGGACGAGAGTCAAATGCATGGCGCACATTGCGCACGAACTGGACAGACTGCATCCTACGTGTGGGTCAAATCTCCATCCTTCCCACCAAGCACAAATCACTATCTATTCACCTATTCAGTGTTGAGCGAGTTATCGATTCGAGAAAGTTTCCAACCCAAATTCACTTTTCTCCAGCACCAACCATCTTGGACTCAAAAACAACAGCGACGCTATCCGTAGGAAACGCAAAGGGCAGCTGAGTCGAGCCGCAGCTATGAATTAATTAATCCAGGTTGATTATGCACAATTAGCATTAATTGCGCGCGCGGTCGCCCCGCAATGACAGCGATACTGACTCACTTATAACAGCGATTATGACTGCATGTTCTGGTAGAAGCTACCTAGGAAGGTCTTGGAAAATGGACAGCATTCATATTCAGGGCCTAACAATGACTTCGGATTCCTGGAAATTTTATTCTTTATCATTAAAGGCTAAGTTCGGGCTCAGACCCTAAGGGACGGCCTTACCATGGCTTTAGACAGTGGCTGGGTAGTAAGTTTCATAAAAGTCCGGCCGCCGGCTTGCGACATCGAAACCGCATACAAGAAGACCCTTAGAGCGCCATGGACTTCTAACAGACTCCACCAAAACTTAACATGGTCCGCCCACCGTTCGATACCATGTCTGCGTCGCCGCCGTTGATCTGCAATGCTCTCTTCTCGGACTTCTCTACGCTCTCCGCGCTCACATTATCTCTCATCTCCCTGCCTGTCTTTTGAACTTCTCCACAGCATGGAGCAAAATGCTCGTATTTCCTGTGTATTCAGGATTTTCTTTCCTTTTTTCTCCACTGGCGGTCCACCTCCCATCCCTACTTTCACATTTGAGTGGAATCACCCCATCAATTTAATCCTGATTCTTGCCTTTAAGCGACTTCAAATCGGGATATTCTCGAACACACGACTAAATTTCCGAGCTGAAAAATATCCCTCAGTTGTGTGCAAGCCCGATTCATGGAGCTATGGTATGCACTCTTTCCAATATAGGCTGCCGCAAGCCTTTTGAAAACAACAGTGTAAAAGAAATGTCGACAATCATCCCGACATTTGGATCATACTAGTTTAGCTCATGGCTTTGAAGGAACAGATCACACCGAGCATGGTAGCAGAACTGTCTGGCCTCTCCGTTGGAAAGACACACCTGCACTGCTTATTTGTCGCTAAGTCGCATTGCGTAAACGCACCTGTGAGCATATCGAATGATGTCTTCAGGCAGCAGCGCCTCCTTTGTCCACAAGGAGCGTAGTTCCCAATCTCACCACATCCTCTGCTGAAGGGTCGACTGTTCCTCCCGCTTGTGAGAATGAACTGGGAGGGATGAGTGGGCGACTCTGAAAGTCGAAAAGCCGGAATAGAGACCCTTTTTAGGAAATCCCAAAGATGCGCAAACGCAACGCTGGCGCATCCGCACCTTGCGTTTTTATGAAATCCAAAACTTAATTTGTGCTTAATCTGAAAAGTTATTAAGCTTCAGGCCTACCGTATACCAGCTAAACAAAACTAGGTTTTGATGACAATACTATTTGCCCTCACAGCAAGATAATTTGCTTAGCTGGCATGTAATATCAGTATTCTCCTATCCAGCTTGATAATCAGCGATTCGATTATTTTGAGCCCATACCTATGACCGCGGTACATTAGGATCTTTCTCAAAACCTTATTGTCATGGAATGATGAGGGATGAGAGAAAAGGGAGGGGGCTGGAAGCAGTGCCTGGAGCGCGAGAGCCAGGCTCGTTGCGCCCTCACATTCATTCCATCTATGCATGTATATGGGGCTAGGACCTCAGACCTACACCAATAATTCATTGCAAATGCCGCCCCTGAACGTCGAAATGACTAATTGCTGTGCATATACACATGTTTATTGACCCCAACGACATGCTCAAACGATGCTGAGCTTAATATAGGTCTAGAATATAGATTGATCGACCTGCACTCAAAAAAAGGCTGCGCGTGATAAGACCAATAATGGAAGTTGTTCAGTACGGCTTCGATCATTGTTGGTAGGTCTCGCAAGCATTCAAATTCTCCCCTGATTATTAGTGATACCATGAGTGCGTGGCGAATACAGGTCAAGGTCATCATCTCTGAGGAAACCCCGGGTACAGATTTATAACCCTTCTCTCTCCTCTACTATTCCAGCCATTAAGAGATTTCCCTTAATGTGTGTCTAGAAGGCGAATTGAAGCAGGTGACGCCGCTACTAAATTCATGGTCCGGGGATTGAATTCCTGATTGAGCCTTGCCTTCGGTCAACCATATTTTCATCCCCTCTGGTCATTAATTTGTATCAGAGCATCTATTAGGATAAAAATAGTACTTTACTCACTGGCAGTTTTACTGAATGGGAGAGGCAACTATATGCAAAAGGGTTATGATTCTCAATGGAAGTCGAATACGTGGCGCATCTCAGAAGTGTAATTAACCAATGCCGAGTATCGTACTTTCCTTTCCCTAGAAATATTGTTGAATAGTGCAAAAGCCGTTTTTTTATCCTTCAGAGTAACAAATTCAGAAGTCGTCCACTTGAAGGCGTGTTATATAAGAGTGCACTCACCCACTGAAAACCCGGAAAGGCAACGATTCCTATATATAAGAAAGGCAGCGTCTTACACCTTATTTGAATTTCAACTGGCTTATTGTTCATTCATGGTACTCGTCGCATCCATTATCATGATTATCGGAGCGTTTCATAGTTCTGCCGATCGTCGACGTGCGTTCAAGCGATTAGCGAATAGCATTTCGCTTATAATGGAAAATATGAACGTATAGCACTTCAGCGATTAGGGCGACGCCAAATGGGCTCTGGGCGACAAATAATACGTACCCTTTCTACGGTCTAATCGCCTACTCGTGCTGATCTCCTACTCTCCATACTCGAACTACGTGGCCAACGCTTCATGATCATACGTTTATTCATTTAAATCAATATAACGCCTAATCGCATAATGCTAATCGCACGTAGCGGTCGCCACTATGAACCTCCATCTATTGATTTCGACGCGCACTATCCATCACTCTAATCTGTTTCTGGAATGCGCATCTTCGTCGTTGCCTTTACAAAGTACCTGTGGTGGTTACCTTCCATTAAAACTTGTAAAATGTGCCTTCGACCTAGTTCGGATCATAGCTACTTACCATTTACAGTGATCAGAGATGAAAACAATTCCGTGCGAGCAACCCGCAATGATAATCCTCGAATATCACAGATCAGATATCAGATCAATATCGTAGATAGCACTTGACAAACATACATTTCTGAAACAATAACTGGTTTTTGTTTCTTATATTTACTCTTGATATAGGTAATGTCATAAATAAGCACGTCTTAACGCACTTAAAGGAATCTTCCACGGAAAAAGCTCCGCCTCCATTACCACAGAAAAACGATACCCCCCCCCTAGCCTCATGAGCATAGCAAAAAGAACGGAACATAAGCGTTAGTTTCGATAATACTAATCCTACACACAAGACAAAATGATCACTCTTTCCGTGGAAGATTCCTTTAAGGTATCGTTTTCTGTGGTAATGAGGGCGGAGCTTTTTCCGTGGAAGATTCCTTTAATTAACCTTAACCTAGTAGTAATTACAAGTCAATTTTAATAATCTTTATAAAACAGGTGTGAATTAACACAATCAATTCGATAGCACAGTTTCAGTTTTCACCGAACAACGTGGTGTGTTACGAGGATGTGTCGATCGACTCTTGTTATTTGGTCTTGACGACGATGTACGAAGTGTACTGTCCGCCTATACCAGTCAACGAGTATGCAGAGAAACGAATCGTAAAATTCTGCGTCTCTATCCGTTGAGCACCGACAGCGATGTGGTTAGTTGGCGCTTCGCTTTAGTAAGAATTCGTGTTGAAATCGCTGATAGCTACGCATTCTAAGCAACTCGAACGAGTGGAGGCTTGGAGACTAGCGGCTTTCTTTGGAAGCGATTTAGTCCTCTGACAAGGAAAGGCTCCCAGGTCGCCATGGCCATTCAAGAAGAGATGTATACGCCTAGATGTGCCTTTGAACGCTGATCTCAAATCTACCTTCCAAATCTGCTAAACGATTCTCTGAACGGAGTTATGAAGCAAAACAGCGCAACGGTAGTGGTCGGGACTCACAGTCAAAACGTCGTAGGATCGGTCCCTATCGTAATTACTGTTTTATGTTCTTGAGAAATACAGCTAAACGGCTTTTAATAGCTTATTTGTCCAAACTCTCGCGTTTGAAGCCAAAAAGATATCTGAAATTTTCAAAATTCTACAAGGATTTGGTTGAGCAGTTTGATCCCCACTGGCGGTTTTCGGACCAGTAACCTCAGCTTGAGTAGTGTGAGTGGCTAGGTATTCGCAGTTGTGAAATTTGAAAGCATGTGCCGCGATAGTCTAGGTGGGAGTTTGGGAGAAGGAAGAAAAGTCAAAGCAAAAGTGATGGTGGTTATCAGTGGAAAAATTGCAGAGCTGGAAACTTCTGAACAGGGCAATACGTTTCTGTAGGTGCATTTAGGAGAAGGTACCGACAGAGGCCGCGCGCGGCAAGAAGGCAGAGACCGCGATACGAGATAGCAGTACGTACTGTAGTACTACGTTTAAAGGCAAAGGTCGGGCTTAGTTGACCTAACCAACCTTTTCGGTCATGTCTGTACTTGGTTACGCACCCGTACAGATGTTCCCACGCTCAAAATCTCGAACAACTGGGTAAGAAGGCCTCAGGGCACGTACTATGCGCTATCGCCGCCTGGCCCGCTACGACCGCCCACCTTGGGATGTGGTGCGTGGCTGGCATAACGTGTGAAATCAGCTAGGCTTATTGCCGTATCAACCGATAGAACGACTGATATCTTCAGAAAACTTGTTTGTACGTGCCTCTTCCCCAAGACAGCCTCCTTCATTGCTAGTGGGAAAGAGGGTTTTGTTAACGGCCTTGTCGACGGTTTTTCTCAGTTTTTTCTCCACTGTCGTTCTACTTCGCATCTCTATACTCAGTTTCAATCGCCATAATACCCCTTATTGAGCCCGACTTTTGCCTTTAAGTTGACTAGTTCTGTTCAGATTGGCATTATCGTATGTGTATCGGATTTTGACAACATCTAACTGTACCCCAACTTTGCCTACTGACGTCCATGAGATTTTGCAGCGTAACTGCTCGTAGAAGGGTTCCGTCATGTAATGTCTATCTATCATTTGCGAGGTAACATACAGAATGTAGATGCTCAATGGGCGGGGCGGCAGGGCGCAAGCAGACCCTAAGTCTCCTCAGCACGCAACACTCATAGCAAAAATTAGGCGCAAGGCTAGCTGTCGTGGGCCATCTGTATTACCAAGTCAAAAGTTTAATCTGCTTAGACTTTGAGAGTTCCTATTTTCCCTTTTTATTCGGTAAGTGGCTCCGAAATGCAGTATGCTCAGAAACTTACGGGAAAGATCCCGGTCATTGCACTCATCCATGCACCATATAAATATGATTCATGATTCTAGACTCACGGTGAACGATCCTCACCAATTAGACGTCATTCATAAGAGCATGACGTGCAGTGCGGACTTAGTAAGATGATTCATGTTGGTTTTAGTGCGCCTGATTTATTGACCCTTGCTGCAGGTCCATATCCAGCTCATGGGTTAAAGTGGTAGCAGCCGCATCGATTACCACCAGGGATAGTTGTTCAAAAATGGACTCTCAAGCACATTGAGTCATTGTCGGTCGGCATTCGTACGGTCCGATTGCAGCATTGTTCTCAGAGCATTTAAATAGGTATTGATTTTGCGCGCACAGAATCGATGTCCGCTTTTTTTCAATGCACGTGTGCACAGATTTGAGGATATGGTATTGCAGAATGGATGTAGTATGGATTAAAGAATCGAACTCATTCACATTAAACTCCGGTACACCCCTTTATGGACACACCGAAGCGCTAATCACTAGGAAGAGCTCCAAAGAACAAGTACTCGGGTTCCAAAAGCTCGCCTAGAAATAAAGACACGCCGTGCACTTTAAATTCCTTCGGAATTTTAAAAGCATCTGAATAAATTAATATTAAGTCCTACTCAGTAAGGGAACCTGTTAATGTGACGGTTATTTACGCCTATAATTGACTAACTTTTTGAGGGGATGGAAGCTTAGCGGTGTGGAATGCGGTACAGCAAATTGGTTCATGTACCGCTCAAGTGTTCCTTGCATAATTTGGAATATCTCAAAGGGTTGCCAACTGTCCACACCGCACCAACTCCTGTCCTCTCCTCCCCCCCCCCCAGCTTCGCCCCTTCACCTCCATGGATAAGACATAAACATTTACTTACAAACATTATAAGAGAACTCTGCTAGCTTCGTGATGAATTTAGCCAAAAGGGGGGGACTTCCTACACACGCTTTGTAAAACAGAGGTGGCGTTCCGTTCATCGCCACCGTCCTAGTTTATCATCATACGCCTTCGCTATTGTCGATGCGCATGTTACTCACCGAACAGGGTGCGTAGTTTCGGTAACGCACCCAAGAAGCACCAAAAAAATCATTTTTGCTACACCAAATGTTTGTGCTGCACTCTCAGCAATTAAGTCCCAAATGATATGTTCCATGATTACTACGCTTACCAAGGTATAAATGACCAATTTTTTTCGATACAGCGGACCCAAAATCAGTGACTGCTTTTCTTATAGGCTCGCAGCAATGCCATGTGCATGTCCTTCAAGCGAAATCCTCTTTATTGTGTAATTAGTTCTGCTGAAACAATTTACTAAATTATCGGGACAGAAAGCTCGGAGAGCAAAAAGGTGACATTTATCATCTATAATTACGTCATGGCACGTACGACATTCCATCAATATGTACAGTTTGCACTGCCCCATAAAAACATGGCTGCGACTCGGTAGATCAATAAGCGGCCGCGTAATGTCCTTATTATTGGCTTAGATATTCCAGGAGCTGTGCTTAACTGGGGTGTAGTTGAGGGATGGGTTTAGGGTCAACCGTGCATTGCACGTTTCTAAGGGGGGGGGATCGATATGAGGTTATGATATCGGTTCAAACAAGAAAGGTAGCAAAGGAGTGTCGTACCCGGGAGACCATCGGACCGATAATGTGGTGGAGGTCGTATATGTAGAAAGAAACCCCTCTAAGAAAGGTTGATCGTTGAATTCTTTGGAATTGGAATAACCAACGGTTGACTCTTGTTGGCATAGCTTGCGATGCATAGGCCACATTTCCTTGCATAGTAAACTCATTCTCTACATTGAATCCCCGGTTACGCGCGAGAGCAGCAATGTCTAGAGAAGCGACTCGGCGTGCCGCTCCACGCAGCGACGATTTATCAAGTATAGTGAATTAGTTCCACCGTAATCCACATTGCAATGAGCGCGCCGTTGATCCTTGGAGCACGTATCTATTCCACGGTCAGCGGCTGCTGTGATTGCTGCTACTCCACTTCAGCAATCATTACTCCAATACAGTTACGTAATTTTTCTCTCGCTGGTCCATCATGAGGAGAGACACTATGTGGCGAGGACGTCGGACGTCCGAAAGCAAGCCCGTTAACCCATGATACGGCGCGCCTACGCCAACGTGTTAGCGTAAACCATTACCACCCTGATAAATATTCTTGTCCGACTACCCTCCCCTTTCGCAATTTTGTACATCCGCTTATACGATCCCACAGATGCATAACTTGTGCCAAATGTCCCGAAAATCTCAAGGTTATTCATCTGAAAGGAACCGCAAGTTATCGGCTCTCATGTATCGGCCCCATTGGCCAGTGACTTTCAAGGCTACCAACATCCCTAATTGTACCAGTTTCCCATGAGGATTTTCCACTCAGGTAGGGCCAATGTATAATAAGTGCTATGGACGCGTCCCAATAGAACTGGGTATTTCACGGTCATATCGAAGAAATCTCGTCAACGTTTTCAATCTGCGGTCATGTGCAATAAAATTACTTACGATGTCAGTTATGTGGACGTATAATGCGATTTCGTTAGTGGAATAGGCTTAGGCAATAGCGTTAAGATCACCTTGGAAACACCGTCGAACGCCAACCCGTGCCAACTTCAGTCTCATTGCCGCCACTTGGTACCTTAGGAGGCCTTACTAGGGAGGTCATTTGAGATAAAACCCACACTTCCAAAAAGGTTCTGCCCATGCTGGAAAGGTATGCGCATGGATGGAACATTTATTTATCTATTTATATATTTGTTTATGCGCGCAAATGACGCGCTTCATACACACGGGGTAGATGAGGTCAGCACTTAATCAGCATTGAATAAATACTGACAAAATAATGAGACAAGAGGATTGAATTAGAAGGAACATGGCAATAAAGTCCACTCGACCTGAGATTAGTGCCGAAACTGAGTGAGATAGTTATAGTTTCAGAAGTCCGTCCACAACCTCAATGCATTTCTTAGCGTTTGTAGCACTGAGCACACCATATTGAAAGATTCAAGCAAAAGTTTAAAGATATGTCTGCGCAAGAATCCTTCCGCCTTCTAGACTCTATATAAGGAGCGGCATTGTGTGGACGGGAAGGGCCAATTCCTTGCCAAGAAGGAAGATCCTTCTAGGTAATATTATGGAAGATGTCTCCTACGCGTTTGATCGAAAGCAAAATCTTACATTCTTGTGAAGCACCGCAGGAAAATCTTGTTTCTTGAAGACAACCATGTACTGAGTACCTTCAGATTTTGGAAACTGTTTTCAAATTTGAAACAAGGATGCCCTTTTCGGTCGATACATGGATTTCTTCATGTTTTCTCTAATATAAGACCTTTAACGTCGAATTCATTTCGTTTGAGCACTTGAACTCATTCTGTATGCATGCAGCTAGTGTTGAGTTGTGATGAATAAGACTCAGCTTCGCTGAATATTCGATGCACTTTTGAGGAAAATCCGATTCGTTAGCACCAACGAGACGCGAAAGAGGTGAGCGCTCTCTTGCCAAGCACCTTTCACCGACGACGGCTATGACCTTGTCAATTAGCATTTCCTTAAGCGGAAAAAGGGGCAACACTTAGGAAACGCGTGAGCAGCAGGGAATTTCGGAAAGCGTTGAATTTGCGGCACGAGCTGCTCCTACCAGCGCCGAACGAGGACAGACCAGTCCAGCTCAAAATGATTTCGTCCAACTGCTTACCAGGGCGACTGAGAATGTGAAAAGTTAAAAATCCTTTCCACGAACTAACTAACAAAAATTGTTGCTGTTCGAACAAATTTTGTGGGACGTCCAAAAGCGACATTCATAATGCAACAACCTAATATTTAGTTGCGTCTGCAGTTCTGTAGTTTGTTAGGTTTCTTGTGCTGGACGAGGTGGGCAACATCATTGACATGGGATGATAACATCATTGATAACTCTTCGTAATGTTCTATAGAGTACAGTCACCTTTAATAGCCTCGCTAATTACTATTTAGTACAATTTATAACTATACTCAGAAATCAGTTCTGATTCACTGACTGGAATATAAACCTGAGCTTCAGCAGAAAATTGGACTAACTTGAGTAGATTTCAATACTGTCGCCTCGATTGATAGAAAGGGCGATACATCCGGCGATCCCTTTCCACTCATAATTCAGGATTAGGATACGCCACGTGCTCTATAATATATAATGCTTCTGCTCAGAGCCGTGGTGGTACATGAATACGATTCTGGGTGCACATTGAGGGAATCAGCCTATACACAACTCAGTGTTCTTATCCTCCTACCAGATTGGAACCTAATGATTGATCCTGGAAGTATGAAGGACTGGCTGGCCCAGGCGAGATTCGCGCCGGGATCTGACGCTCTGAAGATGCGCGGTAAAAACTTGGCGCTACTTGCCATTACGCCCCTCCGCCCTATTTTGACTAATTTATAGTGTTTAATGTGGAGTAAACTACTTTTCGATAAGCACTCCATTCAGCAAAAGCTCCTTTAAAAACATACTTGTTTATATGACCACCATTGCTGAATCAATCGTGCCCCATCCAAATGCACGAAACCATTCATACGAAATGACGCCACCAGTCATCAGCCATGTTTCAATCTGAAACAACGAAGGCTATCTAGGGAAAGGTGATGCATGACCAAGGAATAGCAGCAAAAATGCGCCTTTTTGCCTTTTCAATGAGATTTCCTTGATTTCCTAGTAATTCATATTTCTTCGGTAGACACAACCATTGTAAAGGATTCTTCAAATGTGCAAATTTCGAAAGCTCAAACACCATACAGCCTTAAGGAGATGGGTTCGTTTATAAGCCGTAATCCCGATTACCTTTTTGGATACCAAGTGTCGTCATGGTCATATGTCCATCGTGCTAAGTTCAACAAGGAGATCGTATGTGACCCATGTAAGGGGGGGGAGCTCGTAAGCGCTTGGGAAAGCGGCCGATTGATATTGAACGAAAGTATTTGCCTTCACAAGCTAAGCTAAATGGATTGGATTTTCCTCCATCATAGTTTGTGAAGGTCAGTAACTTTGCCTATTGCCTTCGCACCAACTACCAGCTCGGACGAGTGCGTGGCGCATCCCAAAGCCGTTGTAGTTAGCCTTCATGTACAATTTTGCTAATAAGTGCTAATTACGGCAGAGTCAACCCTGCGTTGCGCAGTTCGCAACGGCACGTTGAGAGATCCTCAACGCACGCTGTATGGGCGGAGACGCAGACGGCTCGAGCATGCGAGTGTGAATGTTCGCGCGAGAGAACGTGTCTAATCGGGCGAAACTGCGCAACGTGGCCGTTGAAAACTGCGCAACGCAGGGTTGACTCTGATTACGGGTCTTTCCAGCGCCCCAGGAAGCTGATTACTCTCGATTTTTAGCAAACCCACCGATTCTTAAAAAAAAAGTTTTGAAGAAAATTATGTCCATTTGGAAATTCGCATGTTTGAGAAGATATCCAGGGAACCATAACAAAAAGGAAACAACGGGACTACTTTTTGACTCAGTAACCTTAGAAGCATGTTGCGCAGCTCAAATCTCGTAGTTTGTCATAGCTGCAGGCTCGCCACTAGTTTCAGTGCTTACATTAACCTTACAAAGCTGCATTTTATCAAGGCGGAGATCTTTAAGAAGTTTTAATGAACCAACAACCCATGGACTGCTTTAGCTACGGTAGTCGAGAAAATCCGCAACTCAAGAAAACTGTTTTCAGGTGACACTATGTTCGTGCGTAGGCGATCACTGTAACGACCAAGACATGCTGATGGCGCTCAACTCGTCCAATGTCACCGAAAAACTCGTCTACGCCTTCATTCTTCTTTTAATATCCACAATAATTGATTTATAGCTGCTCTTATTCCTCTTCTTTGTTTTTGAGCTAATGGGTGGAACTTTCTGATTACCTTTTATTATAATTTCAAGTTTTGAGACGCAAGCGCCGACTAAAAAATTTGTTATTGGAGAAAATGCAGGGCAAAAATTACCAAAATGAAGTTTTATGCTTGCAAAAAGGGGACATAACTGGGTCCGTGCCCCTTCACCTACACATTCTTGTTGCTATTATTCTTACACATTCAAAAAATCAGTCTTTTTGATTACCCTAATTTCCGGTAGATAAGCCCGCGCCGATATCACGTAAAAACACCTCCGCTGGTGCAGTGCACTTGCGTACATCTAGACAACCGTAACTTGCCCATAGGGTAATTCGATATGCTGATTACGAAAACGACATTCATTTTTAGCGGTGGCGCCATCTGGCGCCAGTTGGCGTCACCTTGTCACGACCCTTGTTTTCACCAAAATCGGTGTAAACTTCTGTATAGGGGTTATTTGGTGCCCTGATTACGAATATGACATTCGTTTTTGGCATTAACGTTGTTCAACGCATATTTCTCGGTTGGAGAGCGCAGACGAGCAGAAAATAGGCGCCACCATTCGTAATCAGGACACCAAATAACCCCTATACGGAAGTTTACACCAAATTTGGTGAAAACAGGTGTCGTGACAAGGTGACGCCAACTGGCGCCAGATGGCGCCACCGCTAAAATGAAAGTCATTTTCGTAATCAGGGCATCGAATTACCTCTATAGGCAAATTTACGGTAGTTTCTAAGGTGTACAAAATTACACTGCACGAGCGGAGGTGTTTTTACGTGATATCGGCGCGGGCTTATCTACCGGAAATTAGGGTATTTTCTGCATGATTGTCTTTCATAGGTTCAACGTTTATGCACAGTGTGCAGTGTCTGTTTCCTGGCGTAATTGCAGAGCATCAAAGAACATCAAAAAGAACACGTGATATTGATTTTTTCGAGGCCATTGCTATGTGTGATGATGAGTCTGCAGTTACGAGTTACCCACTTGCGGGAAACAGTGTATTTTAACCGGTGACTGATGTCAAACTAATCTCCATTATTGATTTTCCATTAAGTTAATTTCCATCACCAAGAAGTAGCGGTTGAGGCTGCGATGGATACCCATCTATTGCATATTTATTATTCACTGATGAAGATCATAGCCTCTCCCTCCATTGTTTATTCACCGCGAAACCTACTGTTGCTCACTTTTCAGCCATCTCTTTTCTGAACTTGTGTTGTTATCATGTGATTACGGTAATTTTTACCATATCCTTAGACTAGAGTCATAGTTTCTTGGAGCGATCCTAGAATCAAGCAAACATGGTTATTATAATAAAGAGACCGATTAATTAATAAAGTCTGCAGTTTTATCTATGCTGTTGTTACCAGTTCGAAAAAATAAATGGTTCTTTTCAAAGTGCGCGAAGTTAGTTTTTTATCAAAGCCTTGCTGACGCGATCAAAGAGG